TGTTATTGGCTTTTCTAAATGAAGGCCACGTGCGGCAATCGTTATACACCTGCTGTTATGGGTTGACTCTATCCTACTTAAAAGTCAATGCTTAGGCTTTCCCCCTCCTTCCCGCCCCTTCCCCCTCAAAGCGTCGTCACTATATGTGGATCCACGCAGCAGGGCCTAGCTTGCCTCAGCATGGTTGACGGCGCGTGCAGGAGCGTCTGCACAACGCTAAAACGCGCCGAAGCCTAGATGAACGGCCCTGCCACTTTGCAGCATCACTCGTTCAGCTTCGGCTTGATGGCCACCTGGGATCAGTCGAGAGAACTAACAATGACGTCATGAGAAGCCTTGTCTTCTAGTTGGTAGCATCGGTTAAGACACCAATGGCCAAAACGTCTGATAGGCACTTGCAAGCACATTTTGCTGCGCATACCATGACTTGTTCTTTTTTCTTACCGTTTCTTACCAATGCAAATGACACAGCATATTCTACTGGCACAAAATGGCGACGTACACTTCAAACCTCTGCTGTGCGCCGCCATTCGCTTCCTAGATGCTGCGCCGTCACGCAGTTGGCGTTTCAAAGAATGTCTCTACTTGTAGGGACTTAAACCGGGACCACAACCGACACTACGATCCGAGTGAGCAAATGAAACAGCGCCAAAAGTGCGTCATCATAGCGCGCCGTCTTCGAAGGTTCGCTATTACGTTTACGCGACCACTCAGGCGAATTAGAGGCAATGAAATTTAGAAGAAAGACAAACCGAATTAAGAGGAATCAAAGGGAATTAGGTATACCATGTGTATGTCTATCTTTAATCATCGGCTCTTGGGCTTTCGCCTTCAAGTCGTCTTAGGGATAACTTAAGAGACTCTGTGCATGTTTTGTTTTACCCGAAATCACTAAGTAACGGTATAGATAATTTGGGTCCTTTACTTTCAGGTAAATCCCGATATATCTCAATATTTACACCCCAACATATTTCCTGAAAGTTAGCTTTAAATCGTTTTTTTTTCTAATTCGGAGATTGAATCCTACCATTTTGCAAATTAATGTGCCCCTAAAATGTTTTTTAGGAAGCAAGGAGTTGGTAGAAACAAATTCGGTAGCTCCAGACCTCTGACACGACCCTAGGTTTTTCTGACCTCACTGAGCTTCAACAACATATATTGATCCCCAAAATGTCGTATTTACATCTATTGTGAAGATTTTCTTTGCCCTTACTTTATTTCATTTTAAACCAGCGCAAAATAAAGAACGGTGAGAAAATACTGAAAGCACTTTTTCGAAGAATGCAGCAGGTATTTTGTTCCTATTGAACTGAAGTGATATTGTTGTGCATTGAAAATGTACGCGTAAACTGTGATGCTTAGAGAAGGTTGTCTAAATTCAGGTATGTCGAAATACTGTACAGGACAAGGATGGAGAGAGAGAGAGAGAGAGGTGCTGCGCATGTAGAGGATGTAAGAAACAAGGATTAAGAAAAATTCAAAAGCCCCAGTCAGCGCTACACCTTGGTTCACATGTTTCAATGCTATGTTGTTTACTTTAGTCACATAACTGTGAAAAAAACCTTTATTAATCCGATAATTGCTTTTTATTGTTAATTATATTTATATCCTTTTAATTAACCTCAAATTTTTAAATTTCCGAATAATAATCTGAGAAACGCGATATACTGATTGCGTAAGAAACCCGCCAGTTGTGAAATTTAAGAATCTCATCTTTGAAAACATTTTTTTTTCTTCTGAGCAGTTTAACAATAATTAATTAGGAAAGGTACTCAACTGATATAAAGCTTACGGCTCTTTCTCAAGCAATCTGAGTGAAAAGTATGACGTTTCCTATTTTGATCTCAACGCGATATCTGGTCAATATTGTGCCTAGCGCAAATTCGAACGGAGCCCACAACAGCCTAAGCTGCTCCATGCTGAAACAGCTCCACAGCGTTCAGGGAGGAGGATCTACCATCAGCAGTGTCCTTGCGGCCTTCACGCAATTAAAATTCACCGTATGCAATTTTCCTTTCGTCTTATGGGCACTCCAGACCGCTAAAAGGCGTCTAAATTGCAAGATACAATAAAAAAAAAAAAACTGGGGTGTCACCGCACCTCAATAAAAAATATTGACATCTAGGTAAGTGTTCCACGATACTCCTACCAAGCGTCCAATTACGTTCGACTACAACATTAGTCGTACTAACAATGAGGATTTGAAATATCTTCTATGAAACGCCAGGGCATTGCAATGCCGACATAAACATGTTGACCCAAGATTTGCTCAAGAATATCCCTGTAGTGGCACATTACATTTCATGTTTTCACAGTTAGCTTCATCGTGCGTTTACCGACTTTTTTTTTAAATATTTATCGTGTAGTTAATGTATGCAACATCATTAACGTTAGTTTAGAAGAATATGCATATGTGAGGCATCAGTTATTAGGCTGTAAAACTATGGATTTAGCACAAACGTCTCCGAAAAAACGCGAAGAAAAGTGTCGACATTTCATCATGGAGGCTCTGTTACACTCAAATAAAAAGTAAGGTGTCCTAAAAGAATGGCTCTGAAGAACACGCGTTCCAAATTCAAAGGACCTACAATCCCGCAAAAATCACTTAAAAAGCGTCAAAAAAAAAAAAAAAAAAAAGAAAGCTTGTTGCATTTTTTAGCGCGAACTCAACATCAGAGAGAGAAAATGGGCAAGTGAGCAGTTAGGAAACATCATAATCTAAACCCTTAGACGCGGAGACATAACATAACGGACAAGACGATGCAACATCTTTTCCGTTATTTTATTAGTCCATATTTCAGGGCTTAGGTTATGATGTCACCATCAGTTTTTTTTTCCAAATTTTGCTTTAAAAAGGTATTTTCGGACATCATTCTTTACCGCTCAAGAGGGTGTCACAAGAGAACACCTCCCACCAGACTCGGAGATTTGATAATTCAGTCTATGAGATCTATAAAAAAAAATGATCTTAAAGAAAATCTCTGTGACGCTTGCTTGTTACAAAGACTTCTTCACAAATAAGTCGATATATTTTAGTTTCCGTTTGGTGAATGCTTTTGAAAAACATATTACGTTGTAACAAAAGCCATTTCCGCTTAAAATATCACTTTCAAGAGCGTACGTGCGTGCGGTCGGGAAAATACGAAGCTTTTAAGGCTGTCCTAGGTTAGTTGATCTGGGGTTCCTGAGCTCGTCGATGGCTTACGGATAATGCCGAACCCGAGAACTGCTTTAGCCCCGGAAACAGGTGCACGCCTTACCAGTTCTTTTTGTTTGTGGAACATCAAGCATAGACGAGAAGTCTATTAGTGTAGCTTGGCAGGCTCTCTCCCAGAATAGATCACTCGCTTAGTGCACTATGACGTTCATCGCTGCCTTCGTACTTGGAGCTTCATTTTTTCTTATTGAGTCGACCTCGGCAACTGAGAGTAAGTATCATTGTATCAACATCATTCAGAGCGATTCCTACCGATTCGAGATGTCTCGAAAGATATGCAACGTGGTGTGACAAGGACATTCAAAGTTGTGCACTAACAATTTTAAGTGTGACAAGGACGAGATGTGACACTGACAAACCCCACTTAGAACCATGCGAATTCAAACTTAAAGGTTGTGCAACGATTTTGAGGTTAAAATAATTCGCATCTTGTCTTTTTTTACGTCGTTTATCGTGTCTCGGAGGATAGAGAAAACATCTCCTTGATTAAAAAATGTCACGATTCCGCTGCATAATCGAAAAGTAAAAGTCGAGCTTTATCCCCCCCCTGCAGCCACGAGTGGCAACCGAAGGGACTACGGCGAGAAGATTACGTACCTCGCTCGGCTCTAAGCTGCAGCATAACGCCCGCGAATGACAGCAGAGAGAGGGAGAGAAGGCGTCCTTCGAGAGGGCAAAGGGGAACCTACATGGCACCCCTAATTACGTCACTAGGAGTGAGACCAGATGGGACCCTGAAGACTGAGTGAGTTGAGGAATGGCAGAAATGCCAATATTTATCCATTTTTTTTACACAACTAGGACACGCAGGTGAAATCGGTTTTCTGTTCTTTACTTTAGAAGTGTCAGAGGGCACAAATGTTTGACCGAAGTCCGGAAATCGTTGCACCCCCCGTTAACTCGCGTGACCTTATTGAAAAAGAGGGTTCAGTAGACAATCGGAGGTTTATCAATGCGCGTTTTGTAGCCTTTCATAATTTTCACGATAAAGCCCTACATGAACATAGAAGAGCCAAAATCAGTGAAACAGGCAAAAATATGTATTGTTAAAATGCAGTTAAATAGAAATAGGAAAATAAATGTGCCAGAGAACTGGACTAGAAAGGGGACACTAATAGAGCGTTTTGTTTGTCTCGCCTTTTTGTCCCGTTCTCTGGCGCTTTTATTTCGTACAAAAGCACCTCAAGCCCACGTCTTCATTCTAATCCATATAAATCAAACTGTGTCACAATGCATTTTCCCTCTTGATCCTTTAATATGATCGATCGAACGCATCTAATGATCGGCCAAAAAAGCTTTGAATATGAGCTTAAGAAGGAACTCGACTCTTCTCATAAAAATTCCAAGTATTCGTTATTTTTTTTCTTTAGAAACTTATGAGTGATGAACCTCAAGTTTTCTAAGATTACAGAACATTACCTCAGAGGATAGTACTTTTCACACACGGTTGACGTCTGCATAAAACGTGCATATTTGAAAGCTTTCATAGACATGCATTTCAAAAATTCATTCAGGACTGCCACTGAGTTGGCACCGTATGCCGGAAAAGAGATTTTTTTTTTTTATTAATGATAAAAACATGGAATGAGTCAACGTAGTGTATTCACCAAAGGCAAAATGAGAGATATGCAAAAATCACATGCTTGCATTTTATTGCTTCTGAGAGGCAATGTCTTAACGCCATTCGAAGACATCGAACTTACGACGTTTTGTTTTGTTAGAAATACCATAAAAGATGCGAGCAAAGTAGTATAAACTTTTTACACCTTGAATCCCTACCAATACAGCCAGCTGCTTTAACATCACCATTTCAAACGTTCTGGGAATCGGCGAGGTGAGTTATTTCCATTAAATATCTGAATTCAAGTGTGCCTTCGAGGAAACAAAAATTAAGGTTTTTTTCATCACGGCGTACTTTCGTGGTTATTCAGCAAGCCGCACTAAACAATATCCTGGCTTTTCGCGCGCATGAAATAAAAGCTATTACTGTTATTTTACTACTGATATTACTAATAATATCGCTACTGCGCGATACAATTTAAAAGCCCAAGGCTTTAGCAGTCGTACTGGACTGGCTAAATTTTTCATCTACAACGTAAACCAGTGTCGCAGTTTTTCAAATACAGATTTACCTTAGGCTGTCTCGACATGAATGTCTAATATGTATTTGTGTTTTACAGCGCAGCTCTTAGGCGCCCGTTTCCGGCTTGAGCGGCGTCGGCGTCAGCGTAACAGCGAGCCCCCCCCCCCCCCCCCCCCCCCCCCCCCCCCCACCCCTCGAGCACCTCGGGTTCCTTTGTTAGGACCTCAGGAGGACCTCGGGTTCCTTCGGGAGGACCTCGGGAGGACTTCGAGTTCCTTCAAGAGGACCCCGGGAGGACCTCGGGTACCTTCGGGAAGGGGGGGGGGGGGGGGTCACGTGACCCATCCCCGAGGTCGCGTGACCCCCCCCCCTCCTTTCAGTACCCTTCCCTCCTCCTCCTCAAGAGCTGCGCTCTAATTAGGCGTTACAGGGAGTTGTAGACGGCTTTCACTTCTTTTAATCAACAGCCACGTGAATGGAACCACAGCGTAAGCCATGCAAAGCGCGGCACAATCAGTTTTTCAGTTTTGCTTTTTACAGCGCAGCTCTTAGGCGCCCGTTTCCGGCTTGAGCGGCGTCGGCGTCGGCGTAACCGCACAGTGCATTATGGGTAAATTTCCCCGCTAAATTTAGCGGAAAAATTTCCCCGCTAAATCTAGCATAAAAATTTCCTCGCTAGATCTAGCGGAATAAGTTTCCCGCTAAATCTAGCATAAAAATTTCCTCGCTAGATCTAGCGGAATAATTTCCCCGCTAAATTTAACGGAAAAATTTCCCTGCTAAGTTTAGCGGAAAAATGTCCCCGCTAAATCGAGCGAAAAAATGTCTCTAAGGGGTCACGTGACCTGGGGGGTCACGTCACTCCCCAAGGTCACGTGACCCCCCCCTCTCCCCCCCTCAGTACCCTTCCCCACTCCTCCTCAAGAGCTGCGCTCTCATTCGGCGTTACAGGGAGTTGTGAACGGTTTCCACTTTTTTTTCCTTTTTTATTCATTTATTTATTTATGTGTGTATATTCATTTATGCATTTATTTTTTCCCCGACTGACCGGGAGGAGGGCAGAGACTAAGGTCGTCATGCCTAACGAGGTCTCTGCCCCTTTTACATTTCTGGGGCGTACTTTAAATCGCTTCTAGCCAAATGAAAAATCTCACACATGAAAAGTTAGCGCTACCAATGTTACCACTCGTGCAGCAGGCGCAAGGCTGGCGGTGTAGAAACGCGAATGATAAAATAAAAGACGGAAAAGCAGCGCGGGCGCGCTTTTGCAGTAACAGATTTGCACTTGTTGCATGAGTCGCAAATTTTGCGCAACAACGCGCTTCCCACAGGCCACCAATCTTTCTAAAATTTATTTGTTTGGTGGTTTTCGATAACCCTAAGCAAGTTTATAGTTGGAGCCATATCTTTATCCCACCAATTAAAACAATTAACCAAAATTTACTTAATTATTCGACTCATCGTTATTACAGCCTCCAAAATTATGCCCCCTTTGCCGTATAACTCACCTGTACGGACCGTGTACCAGTGTATAGCTTTCACGGCTTTTTTTTTCTTTAACAGTCTGTAAAATTTAAAGGATACCCTGTATATAGAAACCGCAATGAGGTTTAGTTTTCTTGTCCTGTCATGATCTTGTCTCGTGAACAGACACCTTTGCATTTGGAGACTAACAATTGATATAATTAAAAAATTATATTGATATTTCATATCAATATAAGTTATACCTTGATAGAATAAAAAAATCTAAAAACAAGAAAAAACGATGAAAAAAAAAACTGTCTGGCCTCGAGATGTTTCATCTTCCACGTTTTAGTGTGATCTACACGCCGCGTGTTTCGGCAGCCAAAAAATCTCGTACTCCGCTGCTTTAGTAAAATATACTAACTGCTACAAAAGGTACATTTAGGAAGGCATTCTCTTGTCTACACAAAGAAGTAATGGTGTGCCATTTCTTATACTACGTGACGGGGCACTTTCACAATCCTTTCCAGAAGGTGTAGGTATGCAGTAATCAGGGATGTGCAAAATACACGCAAATATGTATCGAAATACAAAGACAAAATACTTCGTCAAAAATGTATTTAATTACAAATCTAATTACATTTCTATAAAAGCATTTAAGTACAAGATATAAATACAACCAAATGTATTTGGTCTCCTCCAAATACTTTTCCAAATACATTCCTCAAAATTTGCGTCAGCGACTTCAGGGCACCTGCAACGGGTTTCTGGGTATCTCATTTTAATTTTGCATCGCACACTCGCGAGTTAGTGTGCGAGGCTCTAGTAACGTAATAGAAATATAATCACAAAAAAAATGTAATCAGCTTGGACGTAATAGGTCAACAAATTACAGAGCATCAAGCAGTTTTTTTTTTGTCGATTAAATTTTGGTATAGACCAACAAAGAACCGAGACGACCAAGACACGCAGCACTAGCTAGAGAATTTGTTGTTGTTGCAACTCGCACCAGTTACGAAATCTGGACGACCCGCGCATTTAGAATGTTCCAGGAAAAAATATGGATGGAAATCAGGCTGGAAAGCATCACAAGTTCTCACAGGCACTTATTTAGCCAGTCTGCCTGTGAACGACGATCCCGTCACTATTCTTGCCCTGGACTAGCACCGCAATCACAAAGTCACTAAACGCGTGTGCTTGATTGAGAGACACTGCATTCGGTGCAGAACGTAGTTTTGAGGGATGTATTTTCGCCCAGAAAATCGTATTTAATTACAAATGCGTTTGAAATACCCACGTTTTAGTATTTAAATACACACGTCAAATACATTACCCAATTTGTAATTAAATACAAATGCAAAATACACATTAAAATACGTATTTCAAATACTTGTATTTGAAATACTGCCTATCCCTGGCAGTAATTTAAAACGGGAAGTATGGCAGGTACATTTTTACAACATATATATTAAGCGCAGAGTTAATATACACAACGTAATGCATAATTTGTTTTGTTTCACATATCAAGTGTTTGGGAACTGCCGGCAACGTCTGCGCTGAGGATACCGTGAGTAGTCCTTCTTTTAATAGCAAAGCGAATGCGGTGAAGGTCTTCTAGTTGTTAACGAATTCAGGGCATTGGCAGCTAGTCTTCAATTTAAATCAATAGCAAATACTAATTATTTAACGGTGTTATATATGAAGTGTTTTAGCGAAGACTTCCAAATATCGCTAAAAATAGGGTGGTACATACATATTTTTGTGTGTTTGTGAACGAACAAGCGGCTACGCTGGAGGTTAGGGATTGCGAACACGTGCTAATTAGCTCAATAATTGACTAAAATTTGCGAATTAAGTTTTTATTTTGTGAAGGTAGTTTAAATTAGAAAACTTCTTAGCGAAATTGGAAACCACTAAATCAATTCATTTTAAAAACATATGAAGCATGTAGAATATTTTATGGCGTCAAAAAACTTTCAGCATTTCCACCCTGCTGAAGAAGGAACAGCAGCGGAGCTGTAGCTTCTGCTCTCGGCGTTGGCTTTCCAGGCTAGCGGTCTGCTCTTCTTTCGCAAGGGTGTCTGAAGCTCTCGGCCCTCTGCAACTTTAGGCAATAGCGGCCTCGCAGCGGTTGCGAAACCATTCGCGCTGCTGCGCACATCGCCGCTCGTTCAGTTCTTCTTCCGCCGAAGAAATGTTGCCGCGATCATTGGCGATGGCGGCAAGCAGACAACTAGCAACACAACACTCTGGACAGCTACCGCCATCTATGAGCGACGGCGGCAACCAGAGTGTTGTTTCGGCCTTGGGTGTCAACATTTGTTTGGTACCGGACACGATCCAGGGGAAACTAAATAAAAGCTGGATTTGAAAGCATTTTTATGCTTCGTTTCAACTGAAGTCCAGACGCAGCCGATGCTACGAGCTACGACCAATAAAGCAGCTTTAAAAGCTCTAATCACTGGGCCTTTTCTGTTTCTAATTGGTTCAGCGATGATAGACCACGTACAGAAACATGACGAACTGCGATTTTAACGCTGTCTGATCGCTGTCATCAGATCGTAGCATCGACTGCGTTTGAAGTTAAGGTGAAACGAAATCTAAGTTTCGGTTTCCAATCGGAGCGCATATTTTCACCAGAGCCATAGATAGGGGAAGAGTTTGGCCAACAGGCGTGGCTTGCTAGACAGCTCGTCAACTACGTCAGTGACACGTCACACGAGCACCATGGCAACGCCCCCGTATGCCATCTTCGAGCCCAAGGAATCGTGGGTCATACGGTGATCTGAAATTGAAATAACGCTGCGTGGATTTAGCCTCGATACGTTGTTGACAAATAAATGATTTTAAGGTCGAGATCTCTTTTCCCGCCAAATTTAGCGGGGAAACTGAATTGGTGCATATGTCACGTGACGCAATTTTTTCCGGTATCTTTATCGGGCAACCTGAATTTTCCTGTGGGTCTCGTGACGTCATGTCACGTTACATCAGTGTTCCCGCCAAAGTATCTAAGAAACTGAATTGGTGCCTAGGTCATGTGAAGGCAATTTTTCCGCTAAATTTAGCGAGGAACCTGCATTGTCTGTAGGTCCCGTGACGTCAGCTCACGGGACAACAATTTTCCCGCGAAATTTAGCAGGGAAACTGAATTGGCGCATATGTCACGTGACGTGAAATTTTCCGCTATTTTTAGCGGGCAATCTGAATTTTTCTGCGGGTCCCGTGACGTCAGGTCACGTTACATCAATGTTCCCGCCAAATTACCTAAGAAACTGGATTGGTGCATAGGTTACTTGGCGCAAATTTTTCCGCTCTATTTAGCGGGGAAACTGAATTGGTACCTAGGTCACGTGACGGCAATTTTGCCGCTAAATTTAGCGTGGAACCTGCATTTGCCTGTAGGTCCCGTGACGTCAGCTCACATGACAACAATGTTTCTGCCAAATTTAGCGAGGAGACTGAATTGGTGCCTAGGTCACGTGACGGCAATTTTGCCGCTAAATTTAGCGTGGAACCTGCATTTGCCTGTAGGTCCCGTGACGTCAGCTCACATGACAACAATGTTTCTGCCAAATTTAGCGGGGAAACTGAATTGGTGCATATGTCACGTGACGCATATTTTTCCGCTATCTTTAGCGGGCAACCTGAATTTTTCTGTGGGTCCCGTGACGTCAGGTCACGTTACATCAATGTTCCCGCCAAATTACCTAAGAAACTGAATTGGTGCATAGGTCACTTGTCCTTTTTTCTGCTAAAGTTAGCAGAAAAACTGACGAGGTTTACGCTCACGCCGTAGAAAAACCGGGGAACGGGTCACTAACCGCTGTCTTTGTGAAAACGAGAACCTTGACGGCTAGGTTTGGAGAATCCAAAGGCACAAAAACCGACCATTTTCTAACATGCAAACCTAAAACCTAAGGCGGTACACAGAGTGACATAAGTGGCCCCGCATGCGCCCGCGTTTACTACGCGATCGGTAATGTCAGACCGGTGCGTGTAGCTCGCACGGCGTCCGCCGTCGCTAAAGGGGGTTGCCAGGCGCGACGTCACTCCTGGGGGAGGAGCCAAGAGACAGCAAGAGGCCACCGAGGAAAATGGATGGCCAGACTCTTTGCCTATGTATGACTCTGATTGGCACCGGCGGCCCTGCCCCACGTGGCCGAGGCGCGCAGCAACCTCCTCGCCTTTCTCGAAAGACGGAAGCAAGTGTGGCGTACGTCCGTTGCTTGCCATGGCCACGTGTGGGCAGGACCGCTGGAGCATGGATCCGCTCCGATACAAAACGGAAACCTATGGTGAATTCCGTTCGCAGATCTCGAGCGCTCCAAAAGCGCTCCATTTTGAGCGCGCATATTTCGCTCGCAGATCTGGCTCAAGTTGGTCATCTTCCGCTCGTAGATCTCTGGCAGCACCCGCTCCACGGAGCGCCCCAAACTCCGCCGAACTTGCTCTGCGGGATTTCACAGATCCCTCCGGAAGCTGACAGAGCGGCCGACGTGATTTCCGTCTAAATCGGCGGTGCGCATGCGCGGCGAGGTTGGAGAGATCGGCTGGCCGGTCGGGTCGTGGAGTTGGATCTGTTCGGGTGCGTCGGTTGTTTACTCTGGATTGTGACGGCTCGAACGCTTCTACCTCGCGTAGATCAGGGATAAAAAGCCGGGAATGTGGAGCGTGGCAAATCGTAAGCGCTGACGTCTGTGATCGTGAGAGGAAGAACGAGAAAAAGAACGACAGAAAAGTCGGAGGCAGACGCAAGGTTAGGCCTATTCATTCTGCAACCAGTGATTGTTTACCTTTTTACACTGCATTCCGTCGGCGTTTTCACGTGAAAGAAAGCAAGAAGTGGTTAGGCAACGACCGCGCAAGTGATGGTTTCTTACCTTTGTTTTTATTAAAGTCGTACTACAAATCTGAACTCCACCGCTGGCAATCGCTGTCCGTGCCCCGCCGCTTCGAGGCGGCCGAAAGGTATGTGACGGTGCCGAACGCGGACGTCTTCGTTATTTGTGACATGGGCTCCTTGGTATGTATAATTTCGCCCGGCCTGTGTCGCGTGTTACTTCTGCAGCTAAGCAGTGACAGTCGTCACTGGTCGTCGGAAAGATCAGCCGGCTGAGGCGTTGGTGGGCTGGTCAAGTTCGAGCAGCGGCCATTTTGTACGGCGGAGGGGGAAGGGGTGGGGAAGGTCGCTCCAAAAATGCAAATTGATGTTCCCCTCGTCGATTCGGAGCGGGTCCCACGGAGCGGAATTTCGCCTCCCTCGCGGATTTCGGAAAGCGCTCCAGATGTACGAGTGGAATTCACCATTAGACACGCGTCCAAAATGAATGCTGGTTTAAAACGCCCTGAAATCGTCTAAGCACCTTGCATATTTCTAAACTTATTTTATTCAGTGATTTATGATGGTGCTCAGCAAGTGTCTAGTCGGGACCATATGTTAATGTTATCTAATTAAAAAGTGAATACGCAAAGTTTTGCAAATTATTGAGCTAACGGGTGTGTTTATTGCAATTCCCGACGTCCGTCATGACTGGCAGTTCTTGGCCTTCACTGAAACACCCGGTATACATTGACTTCAAGTTTTCTCTTTCGCCACAACTATAACCCTCCTTTGTCCAATGTTTTTTTTTTTTTTTTTTTTTCACAATAAGCATTTAAATGACTGTTGTTTCCACAGGATGGCGTTGTCGGCCTGGTTAGTGCATTACTGGTGGTGAGTGCTGTTTTTTGATGATGCGGCTATTCGTGCCGGTGCTGTTTCAAGTGTACTAAAGTCACACAATGTTCCACTCGCTCCCCTTTTCTAAAGAAAACTCTCGAAAATAGTATAGTTTAAAGCGTTAAAGGGGAGATTTTATACTTTGTATTATCTCGTGACTTTGCACACCACAACCAGTGTTAGCCGCTTTCTGAAACCCTAGAAGTAGGAGAAAAAAAGATCGTGTTTTGATACTATTGTATATCCCCAAACCCGTTACGCTATTTACATGATTCTTCTAAGCTACTATAACTTTTTAGCTTTGCAACTTTCATTTGAGGATCAATGAACATTTATTTTATTTTTATCGTTTTCATTTGCTGAAACTAGTAGTACGTACTCAAATACTAAAGACAACTACTCAAAATTCTAGTTCCATTTATATAACCATTCTAGATAAAAGTAACGCAAAAAAACCCAAGAAAAGGATAAATATTCAAGTTTCAATTATAATTAACCAAGGTCGTCTTATGCTAGAATACAGTAAAACGTGTGTGATTTCTTTTTGTTTTGTTATTACGAATTCGGTATTCCTGACAGAATAAATGAGGAACTGAAGAAAGATCACTAATCTGGAAGTGCATTGCATAAACACACAATAAATATACGTACGGATGCACACTAGGGAGTTTTAAAATAGCGTACGCTAAAGCTTTGCGTACGCAAAGAATAGCGTCGTCGCCACTGCGCAGCCGCCGAACACTGAGTACGTTTTTCGCTTTGCGCACGCTATTTTAGCGTACGCTATTAGGGAATTTTAGAATAGCGCATGCTAATGCTTTGCGTATACGCAAAGAATAGCGTCGTCGCCACTGCGCATGCTCCGAACGCAAACAAGGTTTTGCGGTTTGCGTGCGGAATTTTAGCGTGCGCTATTCCTCAGAAATAGTAGGGAGTTTTAGAATAACGTACGCAATTTTAGCGCACGCTAGCGCTAAATTTTGCGCTGGGGTTAGCGCACGCGACGCAAGAGAGTTTTTGAATAGCGTTTCTCCGCCGCGACGGCCGCGACGCAAAAGCCCAAGCATCTCGCGCTTGCAACGCCACCAAGATACAGTCACCAGTTTTATTTCAAGCATGAAATGCTGTAACTTGAGAAAGAGAACAAGTTTTTTTGGTCCAGTTAAACATTTTACATTTGTTTAAACGGGAGAGTGCGACGCGAGCGGTCGACCGGTCGTGTCCGCATGCGTCGCCTCGGCAAGAGAGGTCTCGTGTACTGACCTTCGCCGATAAATGCTCGCGCGTCGCAAGCATCAAGTTGCCGGTGATCGTTGCCCACCTTACTGGGTTTCCCAACCGAGCGCAATAGGGAGCGCACGCTAAAGCTTTACGCACGCAAAGAATAGCGTCGTCGCCACTGCGCATGCTCCGAACGCGAACCAGGTTTTGCGCTTTGCGTGCGCAATTTTAGCGTGCGTACGCAAAGAGTCTTTGCGCTTCTCCAAGGAGGATTCGTGATGTGAAGTTGGCTAAAGCCAAGACGAGCCAGTTAAAAAAAATGGCGGCTCCCAGGACCATAGCTGCGGCCGCTTTGGCGGCGTCGTGAGTGCGACGTCGGCGGCATCCTCGCGACTGCGATTTTCAATACGGAACGACATTGTACTCGGTTTGGCGACGATCACCGGCAACTTGATGCTTCCGACGCGCAAACATTTCTTGGCGAAGGTAGGATGTGCGAAGGTCAGTACACGAGACCTCCATTGCCGATGCGACGCAAGCGGACATGCACGACCGGTCAACCGCTCGCGTCGCATTCTCATGTTTAAACAAATCTAAAACGTTTCTCTGTACCAAAATCTTGTTTTTTTCTAAAGTTACAGCATTCCGTGTGTGAAATACAAATTGTGACGGTATCTTAGTGGCGTCGCAAGCGCGAGATGCTTGGACTTTTGCGTAGCGACGGAGATACGCTATTCTAAAACTCTCTCGCGTCGCGTGCGCTAATGCAAGCGCTAAATTTAGCGTTAGCGTGCGCAAAAATAGCGTACGTTATTCCAAAACTCTCTATTTTTTTGGAAATTGCGTGCGTACGCAAAGAGTTTTTGCGCTGCTCTAAGGAGGATTCGTCATGAGATAATAGGGAGTTTTAGAATAGCGCACGCTAAAGCTTTGCGTGCGCAAAGAATAGCGTCGTCGCCACTGCGCATGCTCCGAACGCAAACCAGGTTTTGCGCTTTGCGTGCGCAATTTTAGCGTGCGCTATTTCCCGGAAATAGCGTGCGTACGCAAAGCGCCTTTGCGCTTCTCCAAGGAGGATTCGTGATGAGCAGTTGGCTAAAGCCAAGACGAGCAGAGTTAAGCAAAAATGGCGGCTTCCACGATTATGTCGGCGGCTGCTTTGGCGGCGTCGTGAGTGCGACGTCGGCGGCATCCTCGCGATTGCAGTTCTTAATACGACACGAAATTGTACTCGGTTTGGCAACGATCACCGGCAACATGATGCTTGCGACGCGCGAACACTTCTCGGCGAAGGTATACGATGTGCGAAGGTCAGTACACGAGACCTCTCTTGCCGAGGCGACGCAAGCGGGCATGACTGGTCAACCGCTCGCGTCGCATTCTCGTGTTTAAACGAATCTAAAATGGTGCTCTGGACCAAAAAGCTTGTTTCTTTCTAAAGTTACAGCATTTCGTATGTGAAATAAAAATTGTGACTGTATCTTGGTGGCGTCGCAAGTGCGAGATGCTTGGGCTTTTGCGTCGCGACGGAGTAACGCTATTCTAAAACTCTCTCGCGTCGAGGGCGCTAATGCAAGCGCTAAATTTAGCGCTAGCGTGCGGTAAAATTGCGCACGTTATTCTAAAATTCCCTAATGGCTAAAGCCAAGACAAGCCCAGTTAAAAAATGGCGGCTCCCAGGACCATAGCTGCAGCCACTGCTGCGGCAGCTTTTGTGGCGTCCTGAGCTTGATGTTGGCGGCATCCTCGCGACTGTGATTTTCAATACGGGACGACATTGTACTCGATGCGGAAAACCTAGTGAGGTGGGCAACAATCAACGGCAGCTTGATGCTTGCGATGTACGAACATTTCTCGGTGAAGGTACGGTGTGCGTAGGTCAGTACACGAGACCTCTCTTGCCGAGACGACGCAAGCGGATTCGACCAGAAGACCGCTCGCGTCGCATTCTCATGTTTAAACAAATCTAAAATAATACTCTTGATTTGTTTTTTCTCAAGTTACAGCATTTCGTATCTGAAATAACAATTGTGACTCTATCTTGGTGGCGTTGCCAACGCGAGATGCTTGGGCTTTTGCGTCGCCACAGAGAAACGCTATTCTATAAGTCTTTTTCGTAAATGTGTGTTAACACAAGCGCTAAATTTAGCGCTTGTGTCGTACTCGGTTGCAAGAGTGTGAACGAGCCTTAAGATTCTACGTCTGTTTGTCTTCCTAAAGATTTAATTTTGTAAGGCTATAGGGGGGCTGCGAAGAAGGCTTTTGTGATTGGTTTGGGTGATGCTACTGTAATTTGAGACTACCATCCAGACCTATTCTTATTCTTTAAACTTTTATTCCTTGGTATTCTGATGAAATGCACCTAAGATGAACTGTCGTTATGAAGTAATATGTATAGCACAATAATGTACACTGCAGGGATTTCACCGAATTTTCTATGACTTGTGTTCGTTTTATATTCAGTGCGCTGTTAACGGGATCTCGAACCTCGACCTGGGCTCGCAGCTGTTTGTTATCGAAGGAGCGCTGACTTTTACCTTGAGACGAGCTGGATTGGGTACGTTATTTCACATTAGCGGTAATTTTATTTCTGCACGGCTGTGAATCTTCTGATATAATTTGTCTACGCAAATCATCCAAGGCACGAACTTTATCTGATAATCAGCAACACTTGTCACCTGTGCACTAATGGTGAAGAGATAGCAGGCGCAATTCCTACTGTTTGCTAATTATACTAACGAACTGATTTGTTTTACTTTATATCAATGCAGTGAAAGTTACTTCAGAACAGGAGAATCTCACCGAATCTTCACTTTTGCTACTGACGATAATTTTTTGTTTTTGTTTTTCTCTGCGTAAGAGCTGTTAGAGCGTTTTTACGCACTACAGCTTCTCCATACTGCATTAATTTGCTTGCTATATTTTCATAAGTACTATAGATATGCCCCTTATTTTTCGCAGACAATTAAAATACGAGTGCGAATAAAGAATTAGGCACAAATTATAGGGATGAAAAGCAGGGAAAAGACAGTCGATGCCATCTTCCTTCTCCAAAGAAATTTAACTTTGTCACTGCCTGCAATAGTACTCCTTCCCCTTTTTTCTTGCGATAAATCACCTATTTTTAGTCTTCCTGTTTTCTGAATTTCTAGATTATAACTACTCTACCAGCATGGTCGTCAAACTAATGTATGCATCTTAAGTGTGCCGACAATTTTACACTTAGTATCCAAATGTCGTCGTAGCGTGTGCAAAAAAAAGGATGAATGAAATGCAGGAAAGTTTGTTTGAAGTAGTTTAAATAAAACGGTTTCTCACTTCACTTCTAGAAAAATCTTCAACTCGTGCCACGCAAACTATAACAAAGCCAAACCGGCCACAAGGGACTTGACTGTTACTGCAACAAATATATTTTAGCTTCATCGTTAATTATGGGCTTTCTTCTGTTCAGGATTTCTTGCCGATGCGATTGTAGGGTTGTGTGAACTGAGTGCACTTGACTGCTCTGGCCTTGCTCTGGACAACGAAGCCACTTGCGCAGGGCTGATTGAGCTAAATTTTCCAACAGCTCTTGGACTCGGAAAAGTAAGACTGGCTCTATTTAATGAAGCGAATATGTTTCCTTCCTTGCTAGCAGAGCGATTTGTTTGTAAAATACTATATATGAAGTCCTAATAGCACCAATCAACTTTGTTACATGCTGCTGCTAGGCATGAACTTCAACCTTTCTTCACATTTTTGATTGCTAGCTCTACGTTTTTTTTAGACCGTTCCCCATGAAACAAGACTCGTGAACTTTAAGATAACATTATCGCGTCGTGCTAATAAAAACAAATTTGACGTCATCGAATTTGCACGAACGATTAATAAAAATGATTAACGAATACAAATACAGATAAAATAATATTTATCGTCTTGACGGCTGAATATGCTTACTGTGTACTAACGTGATTTTATTGCAGTGTGTGGGCGATATGGCTTTGGTCTGCATAGAGGGAAATCCAGTAACCGTAAGCGATAGCTCATATTCTTTACTTGCTCGTCCTATGACATCTTCATGACTATAAGTAATTTCTCGCTCTTTTTATGCTTCAACTCGCTTGCAGGACACTGTGGTTGAGTCAATTTTCAATTTTCTTACGGTAAGTATAAATACACCAGCTGCACACCTTTAAATTGCTAATATTCTTGTAAACGTTTAATCCAGAAAGTACGCCAGAGAATAACTTAGATTCGACAAGTATTGGAAACTGCGGGGCCAAAGTTGTGCCTAAGAAAGTTTTGCGGCAAGGCGCTTCTTAGAGGAAAGGTACTTTTGAAAGTCAAGGGCATGCCGAAGTTTTGCTTTTTTGTGTGTGTGGTTTGCCGCAAGAGCGCCAAAGTAGCAGCTGCCATACACATTACAAAGATGCCAGGTGATATCATATCTACCAACAGTTAAGCCTAACTCTGGTATTTGCTCGAGGCTTGAGACTCGAAGATGCCAGGTGACATCTGAAAAACCATACAGAGAAGCCTAAGTCTGGCTCTTTTGCGATTTACAAAAAAATTAAAGCCGTTTAAAACTCCCTGTAACGCCTCCTCAAGAGCTGCGCTTAGGAGAGAAGGGTACTGAAGGAAGGGTACCTGTAACGCCTCCTCCCTCCTCCTCAACTCGTCATCCTGCCTGCTACTCCGCCACGGGGGCCACGTGGCCCCCGTGAGGTCCCGTAAACCCCCCCCCCCCCCCCCTGAGGTCACGTGGCCACGTGAGGTCACGTGACCTCATGGGGTGGGTCACGTGCCTCAGGGGGTCACGTAGCCCCCCTGAGGCCACGTGATTCTCCGAGGCCACGGGACCCCCCCTGTGGCCACGTGACCCCCTGAGGTCACGTGACCCCTTGACGTCACGGAGGCCGCGTGACCTCAGGGGGGAGGTCACGTGATCTCAGGGGGTTCACGTGACCTCGCAGTTAGCCGACGCCGCTCAAGCCGGAAACGGGCGCCTAATTGCTGCGCTCTAAAATGTAAACAGGCACTTTGCACATAACATCAGTTTAGGTTCCCTGTTAGATTCTTCGGGCTTTCCGGGACATAAATTCCGAGACAAGAACAAAACTTTTTTTCATTAAAGGGACACTGCAGTGAAGCAAAGAGTTTTTAAAAAGCAAAACATGTATTCTTTTTCTGCAACTTTCCACAAGAAGAAAACAAATTTTGCGCAATATTTAGGCGGTTAGACGAAATTTAGGTGGAGGTCACAGCCCACTCTAAGCACCGCCCACAAATCAGTTGCCCCTCCCCTTACCACTGGATTGGCTTGGCTGCTCGGCCGAACACGCTAACAAGCCTGGTGTCTTCCTTCCCGATATCTCGCGCGTCTAGTCTGGCGTCTGACAACGCCTAACTGCTAGTTGTGCGGCAGTCTCCTGCATCGTCCGTCTATCGTCGCCTGCCATGCCGGAAGGACGCTGACATGAACGCTGCCTGTAGGCGTCCGTTTTCGCCTTCCTCCGTTCGGTATTCAGCCCTGCCTGGAAACCTTTACAACGCTCGCAAGACTGGACCATGAAAGCGGCGTTCTAGCGTATCTCTCGCGAGAGACGGTCCAATACAAGCGTCTGTCAGTGTCTCTTGATGTGCGCTGAAAAGCGACCAAGAGAACTAAAAAAAGCCACAAAATAAATATTTAGTAATTTGAACTTTTATGTTCTTACGTTTTTTTCGTATGGCATCCGCCAGCAAGGTGAGAGAGCGTCATGAAGCACAATTAAAACGTGACCTAATATTATTCGCTTTGGCGGGCCAGGTGCACTGTAAAACTTGAGCTACTTTCCTTTTGAAGCGAAATCATGGGCACATACCTGGACTAACTGGATACGAGCCGAACGCTTGCTTGGATGTAACAAAATAGCTCGAAAATTCTATCCTTGTAGGTATCTTATCGGTATTGAAACCATGGTCGCAATCACGACGGTTGCGCAATTCACAGAGCAGCTGCAGGCCGCTTTTATGAGAAACGAGATCTTTATTCATCATCAACAGGCGGAAAGATAGGAATCATGCCAGATAGATCAAAATAGTGAATGTGGGAGGCTATAGGCCCGTCCCGCTGCGAAAGCAAGCATACGCAAAGCCCTTCCGTAGTTGAGTACTTGCGACACGTCTTTGCTTGAAGATGTATCGGTTGATGAGACCTTCCTTCAAACACCTCTGTGAGCTTAAAGCAACCCGCATTCTTAAAAATTGACGAGTTCATCGAGCTACGCTCGTTCAGTACTCCGCAGACACCGGCAGCCATCTTTGTTGTTGTCTGAAGCAAAAGCGGAAAAACAATCTCTGGATATTTGGTTAAAACAGTAATGACTCTATATAGATTATTTGTTTCTCAAACATAAAGAAATAGTTGATTAATAAACTGTTACGGCACCGAGATGGAAAGTTCCAATCAACCTTCCACACGTCAATCAGAAAGATGTAAGCACCTTGTAAGCACGGTACGGGCATAGAGGGTCGCGACTTCCACATTCTGCACCTAAACTGCGTCTAGCGGCGAAAATATTGCAAAAAAAAAAGTTTTTGTGGTAATATATATATATATATATATATATATATATATATATATTTAAGATACATGTATCCCTTTAGTAAAAAAATCAAATCCATTATAGTGTCCCTTTGAAAGCTGTTCTACCTGGAACAATAGTGTTTGAGCGCCGAGTATTTGAAGTAGAATTAAACACAAAGAATAACAGTAGAAATAAACAAGTAAGTAGAAAATTCCCACGAAGACGCATAAAGTGAGAAATGCGCCAAAATTACAAGAAATTCTTCTGCTGCATTGTGCCTGTTATGAAAAATAACCAAGGAAATAGCGATACTCGTTACGTCAAAAAAACAAAACAAAACAAACAAAAAAAAAAACGGCAAATGTAACGAAAGGCCCTTACCGTATTCCCCAAAACCAACGAACGTCACCTTTGCGCTACTTTCGAATTTTTTTTTTTTTTTGACAACGATAAGCTATGCATATGAACTTGTTTTCACCTTGCTTTTTACATGGTTTTACAACGTTTTTTTTACACTGTTTTAACAATGTTTTTTAACATTGTTTATCATATTTCCGAATCAAATTTGTAGGATACTGTAAACGACTTATTTTTCGCGGGTTCAATATTTTGCGATCTAAGTCAAAGCTGAAGTTTTGGAATAATTCGCAGGTTCTAATTTTCGCGACTCGGTGGGATCTCAATATATAGATTCCAATGTGTTTATATTTTACCGGAATTTTTCGCGTGACCCATTTTTCGCTAATTGTAGGCAATTTTTGAAATTCGCAAAAATGAGGTCCTCTCGAAAACAGTCGTTTATGGTATATATTTTCTCTTTAGTCGAACTGGAAAAATGATGACGCAAAGAAGAAAATGAGAGATTTCATATTATTGCCGAATTAAAAAAAAAAGTGAAGTAACTGATCTGTGAGCTAAAAAAGACAATATTAATTACGAGTAACGAGTGACGTAATTTAAAAGACGATACCAAAAGCAGTAAAGAAAATACTTTACTCTTATTTACAAATTTAACAAGTAGGTCACTGCGTTACTAGGAGAAACAACCCGGTACCAGTATGGACGTTGCGTTATTTCCAAACACTGTTCAGCTGCGCCTTGATGGTCAAATATCTGAACTACAATAAGAACGGTTAAAACTTCTAACGTATTCTTGCGTTATGAAAAAAAAAGTTCTTAACAGTGTAGATATCATATGCCAAACCTGCTTCCAATAACCTTCGCATTTGGTTAATAAAACACGTGGTATTAGATACCGGTTGTTTCGGCGAAGATTTTTAAAAATCGCAAAAAAAAAGGGGGTGGTTGAGAAAAGAAACTATCTGGAAAAAAAACTGCCCCCCCCCCTGTTTTAAACATCAGGGAATGCAAAAAAAAAAAAGAAATCTAAGTAGCTAAATAAGTAAGTCAGTATTTTACTTAATTATTATGTTTTTGCTATCATTGACGTTTGCCGTTGCTGGCGGTTTGTTTATGAAGGAGTGACTTTTTTCTTTTTTTTGGCGAATCACCGTTTTCAATGAATTTTGTAAATTTTTGTTTAAACACGAGATATAAACACATATGTTAGCCTACAGTGCCGACAGTAGCAATGGCGTCGCTCTATTGATTGATTAACTTTCTAAAAAAAGGGAGCATGGTATAATTTATTTTAGAAATTAAAATATAAAAAACAGAGAATGAATTTGTTCTAATATTTTAGATTTATCAACCGCTAATGTAATGGATACTCGTCAGCTGAGACAAGATTCCTGCCGAGATTTTGATTAAGACATGTTGGTATTTTTCAATGGTGTTTTTGTGCAGTGCACGGTTGAAAACGTCTTATCCAACAACGTCGGATACATTCCGATCAACCTGGTCTGCAGCCTGTTGAACATTATTCTGAGAGACCTTGGACAACTGAGTGGACCATTTCAAGTTGTAGCAAATACGATCGAAACTGTTCTTGGATTGACATGTAAGCTATGTCTGTTCCTAATCGCCCTATCATTTTTTATTGATAAATATGCCAAAGGCGAAAAAAAAACCCGGGATAATTTTTTGTTTAAACGTATCTTTCCAAATTTCGATAATTTATTATCTACGTATATTTATTGTCGTAACAGGTTGTCACGCAAGTGTGTAGCGTAGATGTGTGTGGAGATAAGAAATGCCAATTTTGTTTGCATAAATCTTTTTAAAGATCCAAGATTTTTTGGTAAATTTGGTGCGCGCGCTAGAAAGATCTTGAACAATTTCTGTAAGTCGCAGATATTGAACATAGAGGTGCGGTTCCATGTTTCCAGCAATGTGTGGCAAAGAAACACTTTTTTATTCGAAATTATTAAAGAACTGAGTCCTAATAAAATCGTAGAAAAAAACATTCTTCGAGCTACGATTTCTTTTACAGAAATAAAAATTATTGCATACCGTCACTATTGGATAATATTACGCTTTACAAAAAAAATGTAATCAAGATCAGTTCAGTGGTTGGTATCGAGTTATTTAATTAGTTTTCCACGAAATTCTTTGTAAGTTTAAAACAATGTTTCAAAACTTTAAAAATACATTTCTAATTTTATTTAGACCGGGTGGCCTCTCCGTCGCAGTGGACTTTTTAATCGATGGTTTTATTTACAAAGAATATGCGTTCCTTGCAGCAATTTATATTTTCTAAGCTCATGCCTTAACTGGTTTCATTCGTAGCGTTTCACTGGTTCCTTCTATATTTACTCAGAATACCCTGAATAAGAAAGAATTGAGGCATCTTTTATATTAACTTGTGACCACTTGACGTCAGCTTAAAAGCTTTTTTTTTCTCTCTCTCGTTTTTTGCAGGCTGAAAATCAAGTGACTCGCGAGAATTTAAGATGAAGTCGTCAAGGGCCGCGACCGTGCGATAAACAATATTATTGTTTATATTTGTTATTTTATCTCGGATTATTGAATTAAGTCTACTTTTAAAATGCCTTCCAACTGTTCTGGTGTAGGTCCTCTTCTTCACGTTTGGACGTCCAGTGAATTCCGCATTAATTTTGTTGTTTTTAAAATTTGGCATATTTCTCTTCGCAATTTTGAGTAGTCTGTACCCCTCCTACAGTTAAATATTTCTGGTTGAATTACTTAAATAATTAGCGACTTTATGAATAAAGAAACATTTTCCCTGCTACTCTTTATATGTCCACAGTTGAGGCACATCTTCATAGACAAAACTGTAGCTCTAGAAAGGCAATCTTATGAACAGTGCACATGTTGATTAAAAGAAACTTTGAACGCACTGTCATAGTGAACGAAGCGAAGCCCACGACTTCTGGTACCTGACCAAGCAACTTCAAGTGTGATCTGGTGTTGTTTCTTTTTGCACTGATCCTGTGCGGATTTTTGTTTTAATCTGTTCGTTTTATTCAAAGCAAACTTGCGACGAATAAAACTCCTTTCTATGTTCCTCTATTTATGAATTATTCAACCTTACGGAAAAAAAAAGATATATCAAAACATTAATTCTTTGTTGAAGCAATTAAAAAGTGGAATATGCTTCTAGAGTGTGTTGTAAATTCCTCCAACAATCTTCATTTTGAATCTTTTTTGAAGGAACTGTTATCCCAATAGAAGAAAAGTTGTCATTAAACATTTCAAAGTGTACTAAGGGCTCTAATTTTTCAAGCCTTTAGGTTGTTATGTGTAAATTCTAGTTGAAATTGTAACTTCTTTCATTTTGCTGTGTTCATATTTATTTATTCTTATTTATTTATCTTAACCCTAGAGGTCCTTTCGGGCATTACACAAGGGGAACGTGATACAAACATGGTACAACTGAAGCAGGTGGCAACAAAAAAAGACAAAGATAAAAAATAAAAGCAGAAGGCGTAAATTGAAGGTATATAGAAAGCATTTGGCTCAATTTTGGCCTTCAAATATAATATATAAAAAGATGGCGCACAATAAAAACATGTTCATCCAAGGGCGGATGCAGGAATGTTCTGAGGGGGGGTGGGGGTCAGGTGTTGGTCAGTGTACCATATGTTTAGGAACCCCCGTTTCACGCCCTACATTTTACACACGCAGAAATCAAGAGGGGGTCGTGACATCTGGACTCCCTTTCTAAATCCGCCCCTCTGTACATCAGAAACAAGACACTGACAACAACAAATATTGCAAGGATACAAGACTATTCAAGGTTTAACATCTTTAGTGCGGAGACAAAGGACTGATGTTCACTGATAGAGACAATCTCTCTGGGGAGGCTGCTCCAGTCCGATATAGCGAGGAGTAGTGGAGAGTTTTTAAACATGTTGGTTTTGCAAGTATGGGTTAATTTTGAAAGGGTGATCTAAGCGGGGCGATATATGGCGAGCCGGTAGAGGAAAGAGTCCCTAAAAGGCGAGGGACTGTAATAAAGTTTTTGAAGAAACGATAAGCGTGCGTGGTGCCTTCTTGTATGAAGAGGCGCACTATGGGCTATGTTGCTGCTGCGCCAGAAAACTCCAAATTCATTCTTGTATGAAGAGCTGGCAAGTTAAGTCAAAGTTTTAAACTGCTTACACTTGTGAATCGGGAGTAGTCGCAAGCTATAACTCTAGCAGCTTTGTATTGAATAAATTCAATCTTATCTGCAAGATATGTTTTAGGAGGCTACCAGATGACTGATGCATACTCAAGTTGAGATCTGACAAGGGTGGTGTTGGCAAGCAGTTTTGCATCTGAGTTTGCTTGGAACAGTGTTCGTTTGAGAAAACCAAGAGTTCGCGACGCCTTGTTACCCATCTGTTCAATGTGAAGGTTCCACGTTACGTCCGATGAGAGATGAACGCCAAGATATTTAAAGGATGAGACATTTTCAACGGCGTCACTACCAATGAAGTACGTGTAAGGGGCGAGATGTCGTTTCGAGATGAAGGTCATAGCTTTTGTTTTGTGTCTATGTATTTTCATCAGCCACGTGTCACATCAGTTTGAAACTGTGTCTAAGTCCTCTTGTAAAATTGTACTTTCTTGACGGTCAGTAACGGGACGATAGATGACGCAATCATCCGCGAATAGACGAGCGCAAGATTTAATGTTAGAGTGAAGATCATGGATGTACATAAGAAAAAGCATAGAACCCTGTACAGACCCCTGCGGGACACCTGACGTTACGGGAAGAGGGGAGGAGAGGCGTTTTCTAATCACAACTGATTGGCGTCTGTTAGTTAAAAAGTTTTTAATATATTTAACAACACCGGACGATAAGTTTAGTTTAGCCAGCTTATATATCAACCGGTTATGTGGTGCCCGATCAAAGGCTTTCAGGAAGTCCTTAAAACTGGCGTCGACGAGTCTGGACAGGTGAACAGAATGATGAAGGTAATTTAACAACTGAAACAGCTGCGTTTTACATGAGCGTCCACGCAGAAAGCCGTGCTGGTTAATAACATGAAGTTGATTGGTAGTTAGGTGGGTCATGATTTGCGTCGATATAATTTGTTGTTAGAAGTTTACATGAAACACAGGTGAGTGAGATAGGTCTGTAGTTGTCAAATGGGATGGCTCTTAAATATAGAAAGAACACGGGCATATTTCTAATCGTTTGGTATTTTATCCATCAAAAGAAATTGTTAGAACAGCCTTCCCAGAAGAGGGCCAGAAATTGATTTGGTTAGCTTTAATACCTTTGTGGATATGCCATCCGGGCCAGGACTAGAGGTAGTGGGCAATCGGTTAATGGCACGTATAACCTCATAGATAGAAATTACAATATCTTTCATATTGCTTTCAAATGACATTTTTGATATAGTCGAGTGTAAAAAAAACATCATTATCAGTGAAAACACTGCTGAAAAACTTGTTGAACTGGTTGGCCAACTGAGATTCACCAAGTAAGGTGTCACCAGAATCCAAGCACGGAAGCACACCTGCAGGGTGAGGGTTAATAACCCTCCAAAATTTCTTCGGGTCTGACTTTAGCATATTCGAGACATCAACGTCAAAGCAGCTCTGCTTGGCCTCCTTTATCAATTTCTTGCAGCATAAGGCATGCGTAGGATAAGGGTCCAATCGCGGTCCAAGTCAGAGATTTTCGCTCGCTTATATAAACGTTTTTTCCCCCGGATGTAAACCATGGTGAATGTAAACGAGGTAAAATGTTTAAAACAGGAATGCAGGCAGCCTGACTCTCTATCAGTTTGTTGCGAAACAACATCCATTTTTCATTTACTGAACGCTAATAAAACCTACTCAAGAAAGAGCTAGAAAGCATAGACAATCTTGACATCAAAGATTCCTGATCTGCTCTCCTGTAAACAAAAATTTGTTTCCCTGAAATATCACGCTTTGCGACGTATAAAAAGAAGGTACAATGTACAATACGGTGATCAATGATTTCGTCAATAACATTAACCGCCGTGTGCTCAGGTTGCGTTGTAAAAATTAAATCCAACACAGCATCTCCAAGTGTACTGGTTGTGAGAATCTGCTCTAGTTGGAAATAACTCGCCATCTCAAGAACTTTTAGGCATTCCCTCTTGTTTATACAGTATCTAGAAACTTCATTTGCTGTCCAGTCTATACCAGGATAGCTAAAATCGCCTGCCAGGACTATAAGAGTGTTAGAAAACTTTGACTGTTAATCGTCTACAATTTCTCTTAAGTGGTAAATAAACTTTGCCCCGGAGTCCGGTGGTCTGTAGCGCACTCCGACTAAGCACCTTTGAAAGCCTGTTCCGATTGTAACCCACAGAATCTCAAGCGCTGTATCATCTGGAATAAATGACGATGGGATGCACTTTCTTACGGCGATGATAATTCCACATCCCTTGCAGTAAGACCGGTCCTTTAGATAGACTGAAAACAGGTCTGCAAATGTCAACTCTGAATTTGGTATGTCTGAACCAGACTTGTACCGTACGCATTACAAGTGATCAAATTACTTGCAATCGATTAAACTTACTTTTTGGAGTTATTTTGTAATCAGTTGATTACTTTTATTAGGCAGTAATCACAAAAGTAATCTGATTAATTTTTGAAGTAATAAAAATGACTTCTAACCGTAACTATTTTTCCACGAGATCCCCCCCTCCCCATACACACACACACACACACACACACACACACACACACTTTTTTTTCCTGAATTTACAAAAATAAAAATTGCGCCTTTTTTCAGGCAGAAAAAAAAAGTTTTTTGAGGATCTCTAGGAAACGAGGTCAACCCCTCTGTATGTATAGTTTCTGTGGAATGTCCGTTTTTTTTCAAGCTAGGACTGGGATTGGGAAGCCCCAGGGAAGTCCCAGTACGTGACAAAGGCCATTCAGGGCGAAGTTTGAGGGAGCAGAATGTAACTTTGTAAATCCTTCGTTCAAACTCGCCCCCTAACGCACACACACACAGAAATTAAAGAAAAAAAACAATCTTGCTTACGGTACCTGATCGCAATTTATAGGAGAACCAGAACCGAAGAATGTCTAAAGGGGATGCAAAATATAACAAAGTCAGTTCAAATACACGTCAAGATCACGTATTTCTCCTACGTGGTCTTTGTGACAAGCAAGATTTAGAGGTTGGAGGTAGTTCATTGTTATGGGCGCTAAAGATGTAAGTCTTCACACAATAAAGTAATAAAAAAAGTAGCAGTTACTTCTTAAAGTAATGCCCAATTACTTTTGCTGTCGAGTAATCAAGTAATATAATCGAATGCTTTTTAGCCAAGAGTAAAGTAATCGATTACTTTTTTTTAGTAACGTGTACAAGACTGGTTTGAACTGAACCATGTGTCAGTTCCCAAAATGACATCAGCGGAACATGTATCAATAAAAGAGAGCAAGTCATCCTGTTTCAGTATTAGAGCTGCGAAAGTTGGTGACAAGAAACGAAGCTGACCAACATTCTCGATGGGACCCGATTTGAAAAGGCTGCCAATTGCTTACATTGGAAGAGGGACGACTTTGACAGGGCACGACCTGTCCGTTGGTAGGGTCATATTTGTAAACCGCATTGTTAAGAAAAAGTTTGTCGTAGAAGAGCCGGTATCTGCTTTCGCCTTGATTCGCCCTTGCGAAGTCCCTCAGCTGTTTACGGATGAGTTGCATTTTAGGTGAGAAGTCGTCTTCGACACATACTTTAGGCGATGTCAGGTTTTTTTTAGCTTGTACACACCACGCAGAACCTCACTCTTGCTTTTTTAGCTCAGGAATTTCATATTTATCGGTTGGTTAAATCCGGGTCTACGGGGTTGAAGCCGGTCAGCGCGCTCAGTTTTTCCGACACTTACGTTTAAAGGTCCGTTCACACTCTTGCGACTGAGTTCGACCGAGAGAGACCAGA